AGAATATGAAGATTTTGTTAAATGTATCAATTTAACATAATCTTGGTAACTTGATGAATTTTTTATAAACATTGTCTTTTTTATATTTCAAATTTTTTTTGTGAATTGAGTGGAAGTTTACAGAGTAGATCATCAGTTTTACATTCAACAAATAATGTACTTTGCTTCATTACATTGTTGTAATCTCCTACATGCACCAACAGGTAACAATATTTACATGTATTCACTTTAACTATTGCATTCCTCCCTGTGTCTCCCACTACCTAAAACTTTTCTTTGTCAATCTCCCTCTGGCTGAATATTGCCTGCCCTGTCACCTGTTTTAGCATGTGTCTACTCTCTTGCTCATGAATATTTTTCCCTCCCACACCCCTCCCATCATGCTGTTGTTGTTGTTATTGTTAAGGACCAATGTTGTAAAATGTTTTTTAAGAAAAATATTTTCTTGATAAAAGAAACAATCTAAACATTGTCTTTTGCAGTCTTCTACTTCTTAATTTGAGTACATGGATGTTAACCAACCATTTTACTTTCTGATGTACATATATATTAAATATTGGATTATCATATATTTTGGAGTTCCCTTGATACAAAATTGGCCAAGCACTCAGCTGCTAACTAAAAAGTTGGCAGTTTGAGTCCACTAAAAGGTACTTTGGAAGAATGGTTTGCTTCTGAAAAAGCAGTCATTGAAAACCATTTGGAGCACAATTTTATTCTGACATACATGGGGTTAAATGAGTTGAAATTGACTTGGCAGGAACTGGTTTTGCAACAGCTGGTTTTGCTTTACTGTATATTTTATCACCCAAAGCAGATCAATTTGAGAGTAAAAGGGATATGATTAATACTTTTGTCAGGAATAATCTGGCTTTTCTTTGCATATATCAAGTATTTCATTTTGAAGAAATGGTGTAAGAATTTTTTGAGGAAAGGTGTGAAGATGAACCTTGATGGATCACCAGGAAGACAGTCAAGAATTAATATGGAACCACTCAGCATAAATTGAGAAAACTTGCTCAATTTGAGAAAAAAAGTTCACAATGGGGAAAAATTGGAAATGTATTTATTTGGTAGAGTGGAGAAAAGATTATGGAATATCTTAAAAGCCAAAGCAGATGCTTCCAAACTTGGCAAATTAGCAGAGGAAATTGATGTTTATGCTTCAGTAAGAGACGGCAGTGGGATACAGAATAGATTAGGGGAATCGAACAGATGATAAAGATGGAAGTGGTATTTTGAAGAAGGTATTAAGTGCAATTTGTTAATATACTTAATAAACATTTCTTGAACATTTCCAGCATGCTGGGCACTATCCTATGAATAGGAGATACATATATATGGAAGACATAATCCTATACAGGAACCAGAACATTTAAAAGATTATCAACATGCCTTTTTGGGGAACACATGTGATGCTTTCTAGGCAAAATGGAGGCAGCCAGAATACATAGGCAGGGCAAGAGAAGGGCATCCCAGACAGAAGTGCTAGCATAGGAACATGATATAAAAAGGGAGATAAACAACTCTCTATCCTACGTGTGGAAATACTAGTGAGACTTTAGGCTATAGTGCACATAAAAGTCAGACAGATCCTGTAAGCATTGAAACCAGGGTGAATAAAAGTCTTCCAGTATTAGGAAGAGATGCAAGAAAAAGCAGAAATGCTCCGGAAAGAACCAGAGGATCAGAGACCAAGATGGGCAAAGGCAGTGTCATAGAAGCAGAGGAAGGAAGTGTGATTTCAACAGCAGCCTTTAATAGAGAGTAGGAAGGATAGGGACTCAGAAGAGGCCACTGGATTTGGCTTAGAAGGAGGTCATTTGTGGGTTCCTGTTCCCAGCACCAAACAGGTTAAGAGCAAACAAATTCACCATCTTCCTATAGCTGCTAACTCTGAAGAATTGCCTTTCCTACTGCTCATAAAATAAGGGTCAGCTGGTTTTTCACTTTATTCTTTGTTTGTTGAGTCTAATGCCCAGAGCAGAGGAGCAGATCTAGAGCAGAGGAGTAAGGAGCTATATTCTCTGGCCACACAACAAGTAATTCAAGCAAGCACAACACAACCTGTGGCCATATCCCCATAGTGTGTTTGTGAGAGAGAGAAAGACAGGCAGAGAGAGAGACAGAGAGAATAAGTGAACAGCATACAAGTTTGTGTACCACATATTAGAGAAGGAAAGAATTAGGTGTTACTCTAGCATAGCATTACAATTTCAGGTATTCTTTCTGAGTTGTGAAAAAAGTAGTAATTTGGAGGCGTTTATTCAAAAAATTCTCTGTGCTGTGTGTAGGATTCCTACAGCAGCTCTGTGAGATTCCTGAGTGGATCTGCTTTGCCAATGTGTTACATAATTGTTTTTTATCTTATGATCAGCTATGAGTCATTCAGCTCCAACGTCTCCAGAGCACTGATATGACACCTCCATGTCTCATGTGAATGTATGGCTTTAAAGGACATTGCACAAGTCTCAACTAATGGAGTTGCTAGATTTCATGCATGTGGGGTTGTGGGTTGTATGTTTTTAAACTGTACATCATGCCTTTCTACTGAAAATTCCAATAGTATGCCTGTTTTTAATTGTGATAAGCTCACCAATTGAGAAGTGCTCTTCTTGGGAATAGGTTACACCTATCAACCATATATATGAAGGAGCTCTGGTAGCATAGTGATTACGAATCAGGCTGCAAACTTCAAGGTCAGCAGTTCGAAACTACCAGCTGTTCTGCGGGAGAAAGATGAGGTGTTCTGCTCCCATAAAGATTAAAAGCCTCAGAAACCCTGTTCAGGGTCACTATGAGTTGGAACCAACTCCATGGCACATAACAACAACAACAACAATCAACCATATGAAAACAAAAACAAACTTGTATCTTCATAAATTGATTTCTATTAAAAACTACTAAAGAAAACTGTAAATATATTGATATAATTGTAAGATTTTAAAAGAACTTATTCTAAATGTATATAGAACCTCTGGTGTTACAGTGGCTAAGCACTTGGCTGCTAATAGAAAGCCCAGCAATTCAAACTCATCAGTTGCTCAGTAGAAAAAAGATGTGGCGGTCTGTTTCAGTAAAGATTGGCAGCCTTGGAAACACTATTAGGGAAGTTCTGCCCTTTCTAGTGGACTCCTGGTGTGGTATGGTAGGATAAGCACTGGACTGCAAACCATAAGGTCAGTGGTTCAAACCCTCCAGCTGCCCCTCAGAAACCCTGTACAGGCTCACCATGAGTCAGAATCAACTCAATGGAACTTAATATGACCCTGTCCAGTAGGGTTGCTATGAGTCAAAATCAACTGGATAACAGTTAGTTTTTCTAAATAGGAGACCCTAGGTGGTGCAAACAACCAACACACTCAGCTGCTGACCAGAAGGTTGACAATTTAAGTCCACCTAGGAGTCCTGGTGTGGTACTGTAGGTTAATGCACTGGACTACTAGGTGGTTTGAATTGCAAGATCAGTGGTCCAAGCTCACCAGCCACTCCTCAGAACCAACTCAGTGACACTTAACAACAAGAGGCATCTTGGAAGAAAATCTGAAGATCGATTTCCAGAAATCAGCCATTGAAAACACTATGGCGCACACTTGTACAGTGACAAGGGGTCACCATGATTTGGAGGAGTCCACTTGATGGCAACTATATAACTTTTATAGCTCACTTTAAATTTATTAAATGATATGTTATTGTGTTTTTTGGTGAAGGTTTACATGGAAATTTAAGTTCCCATTCAATAATTTCTACACAAGTTGTTCAGTGCCATTTATTACATTCTTTACAATGCGTGAACATTCTCATTAATTCCATTCTGACTCTTCTGTTTCCATTCATGTCATTTCCCTGACCACTTACATGCTCGTCTTTGTATTAAAGTAAATGTCTTATATAGGTGATTTTTAAAGGAGCACAGTACTCAAAATGCACCCATTTTGAGCCAATTTGTTATTTAGCTCTAACGTCACACTCAAAGGTTATTTCTGGTTGAAGGTTTAAACAGTATTTCACGGCAATAGTCTTGAGAAGTCCTTCAGTTTCAACCAGTACAGTAGTTTTTTTTTTTTTTTTTTTTTTTTTTCTCTTTGTTAGAAATTTGAGCTTCTTTTCCACATTTTTCTCCCATTCTATCAGAATCCATCTATTGTGGTCCTGATGAGAACTGTCAGTAGTGATAACTGGCCCCATCTGGTTTTTCAAGTTTCAGGGTAGATAAGGCCTTGGTTCTTGTAGACTATTTGCCCCTTAAACTAGTTTCTTCTTTGCATTGTTAGTTTCCTTCTTCCTCCTTAGTTTCCAGATGAATAGAGATAAACAGTTGTATCTTAAATGACAGCTCAAAAGCTTTTAAGACCCCAGACAGTACTTACCAAACTAGAATGTAGAACTTGTTGAACTGTATTATGTCAATTGCCTGAGATGTTCCTTGAGACTATGGTCCTAATCTTTCAAACACAGAAATCCATTCCCAGAAGGTTTGGGTTATGTTTAAGAAGTAACCATACCTGTGCTTCCTATGTGCTTTATTATACAAAGTTCATGAAAATGTTCCATTATTTTTTAATTCCATTTTCCCACAAACTTTTAAAAACCACCTTTGTGTTACGAATGTATATGTATACAATTACATAGATGCATGTACCTATGTGGCCCTGTAGAATGCTCAAAGATTGACAGCCTCGGAAGCACTATATACGGTCACTAGGAATTGGAACCAACTCAATGGCACTAAACACAAACAACATACATACCTTGCATGTAGACCTACATACATATACACCTGGAATTATATATATATTTTTTGTTTGTTTTTGTTGTTAGTAAGCCATAGCAATTTTAAACAGGTCTTCTTTTTTTAAAACATAGCCATATATATATATGGCTATGTTTGACTACTGTAATAAAAGTAAATATGTTTTGACTTACTATAATTTAACTTTAAAGAAGTTACATCACTAAGAATTTGGATTTTGTTTTGTGTTTTTTTTTTTCTGTTGCAGGTGCTGGGCTCAGTGTCAGTGACAATGAATCTGGTCAAGGCAGCCAGGAGGGAGGCACCTTGACTGATTCCCAGATTGTAGAACTCAGGAGGATACCCATCGCAGACACCCACCTGTAGATCCTTAGTAACCATTAGAATGAGGATATTCCCACATCTCTACTGGCTTTTTGTGATAGACTGTATATGAAGCCATATAATAGGAATCTGTGAATTGTATTGGATGGTTAACCCATAAATGATTGTTGTGTTTGAAATATAAATGACTTAATTTTGTGCAACATGAAAATCCACTGCTATAGTGAAGGGCTGGATCAATTTATATCAGTTAATAGGAGGTACATATTCTAAGATTATTAGTTTTTTTTAATCATCTTTCATGGCTAACATTGTTTAGTAAGGATAATAATGATTAACAATAAAAAATAAATAAAAATTCACTTGATACCGACTAGTCTCATTATTTGGTAGTTTGAAACCACCAGCCACACTGCAGAAGAAAGATATAGTAGTGTGCTTCTGTAAAGATTTACAGTCCTGGAAACTCTATTCTGTCCTATAGGGTCACCATGAGTCAGAATCAATTCAATGGCAGTGAGTTGTTTTGTTTTGTTTTAATTTTAAACTCATTACTTATGATACTTATGAGGAATGTGCATAGCCCCCTCCCCCCAAAAAAAGCAATAAAAGAACATGTAGAATGAGGCTTCAAAAAGTTCATGGAAAGTAATCCATTATCTTGTTAATCTCATTTTCCAAGAACTTCTTGAAGCCCTGCATATATTGAATGTATTTTGATTTTTCAAAATTCTTAAGATATCATGATATCCAAGTTAATACTTGCTCCCCAAAAAGATAGAGATAACTTTCAAATGATTTGCCTTCTCTACAAAGAATAAAATGAGATAAGAAAGATGTCATAATATATACATCATGTATAGTTATCACTTTAGGCTTGTAGGCTCCCAGTGAAGAGCTCTAACCTTTCAATATACTTGTTTGGGAACTAAGTTATAACTGATTGTTCATACTGTTTGACTCTCATTTCCATATACATGACTTTTCCCACCTAAATATAAATAGACATGAATTTTTAGAATGTGATTTTTTTAAAACTCTAGATTACAGGAAAGAAGATGAAAAGAATCTCGATGAAAGATTTTGAATTTTGAACACATTTCTCATGTGATCCTAGCATTAGTCCATATGATGACAGTTAAGAACACAATTTTTTCATCAAAGAGAATACCAATGTATCACTCAAAATTAGGTTTCTATTAGATTAAGAGCTAGTATGGAAAATGAAGCATGCAATTTGGTGATTTAAACTGTGACTACTTGGTATGGCTCTGTAGAGTAAGCATGGGATGGCTAACCCCAGGGTTGGCAGTTCAAGCTCATTAGCTGCTCCTTAGAAACCCTATACAGGATCACTATGGCAGTGGCACTTAACAACAACAATGACGACTCTACAGTGATCCTTAGATATTCAGTTGACTTCCTAAACCTTCTGAACTTGATATCTCATGAGGCCCCCAGTGCTGTTTATTCAAACATTGATATAGGTGATCCAATTGAAGACTGTACTACACCTAGAACACAGATTTTGTTGTTCCTGAAAACCACAACATTTTTAAACTTTTCATGATTTTGCACCAAGGACTTGATGGAAGCACTAGTGTTGACATAGTCATTCATCAAAAGTGTATATTTCTGTTCATTACAGAAGTTTAGAACATTTTCCAGGATGAGTGTTCTAGTCCCATCAAGCATTTTAGCATAGTTAAGAAGAGAATCATTCTAAACTGGGCAGAGGTTGCTTTAGAAAAATATTTCTTGGTTTGAATTTTTAGTCTTTCTTTATTTTAGAATTAAAAAATCAGAAAATCTACCCCAGAACAAACCCTGTTGTGTTCATGATTATTTCACTGGCAATGGAAACATTTTTGACATTTTATTTTGACATTGTTAAGTATTTTTGAAAAAGTCCGTATCTAAGGAAAGAAATTGAAGTTAAAAATGAATTTTTCCAAAAGAAAATGTTGCCATTAGTTTTTCTTAAAGCCATAAGTAAGGTGTTCTAGTTCTAGCTCTAGCCTCACTGCTAAGCCTGGCTTTATTTGATATAAAATCTGAGGTGGTAGATTTATTTTCTAAATTACAATGACTCTTTCTCTCCTCTGCTCTTCCTATGGGTCTTCCCACCATCCCTGAAACATTCCTTTATTCTTATATTGAGTTTTGATTTGTCATTAGAGGTAGCAAACAAATTCTATGCAACAAAATCAAACAGCATAAAAAACAAAGGTTGAATGTCTGATGGAGTTATAATAATTTTTAGAAATTTTAGATATTGTGGTTTATTTACCTTAAGTGAGTGGCAAATTAGTTTTCTCTTTCAAACTTGCACTCTACATATTCTGTTCCATAGTAGGGTAGAAGCAATTGGTGAAAATTGAAGATGAAAATTTTGAAATAACATGCATTCTAATATTGGTAGTGGGTTTTAATGGATTTTGGGTTTATGTAATGACTACACACATGTGCGATTTCCATATGTAGAATCCACAAATCACAATTGACAGCATTTTTAGCAGAGAATTAGATGTATAATTCTCAAAAAAAAAAAAAAGTGATAGTTATTTTTGTTTCCATATGTTGTCATAATTTGGAAAAACCTGGGGAAAAAAAGCGTTACTAGATTTTTGTTGTTATCCTGAACACCATTTTATTAAGGAATCGAACAACCTGCTACCCTTCAGTAGGATTCTTTTATATGTTGGCAGCAAAAAGCAAGGTTTCCAGAAGCCACAGTGCTAAAACAAATAAACTTCATATTTCAACAGCAGTAATATTTTGTCATCCTGTTTCCTCTCAATATAGATTAAAATGGGACATCTGCCAGGGAAGTATAGTAGTATAGAGGAAGAAGCAATTCAAGTCAAACTCTCCAAAATAAAAGCTGAAAGGCTGGGACTGTAAACCTTTGCTGTGATCTTTCTCTTTCAAGGGTTGTGTTGTGTTTTCATCCATGACATTTCCTTTCATCTGTCAAAGGGCACCCACCATTTTCCAGGGCAATATCTCTGCTTTCCTATTGTTGTATTTTTCTTTGACATATTTAAAGTATTTGCAACTTTTGGGTTTCAGAATTGTATGAAAGGATTTCTTTCTAATCTGGGTACAAGTAATGTTAACATTTGCAAAGAGGGTTTGGTGGTGAAGCTGGTGTATTCTAACAAAAGGTGAGATACCATGCAAATGAAAATCATCGTAAATAAACACAGGAATAATATCACTCTGGAACTTTAGCTTTTAGGTGTTTTGTGATCTCTTGAGATGTTTTAGAGTTAAATAATAGTATCCATGTCTTCTGAATCAGACCAAAGATGTTAAAATACATAATGGAAATATAGAGGAGGAGTGGAAGGGATATGATAAGGGATTAGAAAATTACTTTCAGGAATGTAGCTTCCAAACAAGTTTATCCTGGGCTTACCAATACTTAAGATCTTCCTTAAATTTAGTTTTGAGGCCTCTGGGTTGATCTGTTTTGGATAGGTCTCAATCAGATAACCAAGCAGTGTTGACGTTTTCTAAGAAACTGAGTGCCAAAAAAGATCTCCGTACAGAAGAGGCCATGGAATGAGGGATATTGCTGTTGTCTGATGGATCTTGACTGAAAACAAAGAATACCAGAAAGATGTTTCCCTATGTTTTATTGACTACACAAAGGCTTTCAATTGTATGAATCATGACAAGCTATGGACAACATTGCGAAGTATGAGTATTCCGGAATACTTAATTGTGCTCATGAATCTGTACATGGACCAAGAGGCAGTTGTTCAAACAGAACGTGGGAACACTGAATGATTTAAAATTAAGAAAGTTGTGTGACAAGGTTGTATCCTTTCACCATACTTATTCAATCTGTATGCTAAGCAAATAATCTGAGAAACTGGGTTCTATGAAGAAAAACGTGGCCTCAGGATTGGAGGAAGACTCACTAACAACCTGCAATATGCAGATGATACAACCTTGTTTGCTGAAAGTGAAGAAGACTTAAAATGTTTACTGATGAAGATCAAAGAGCACAGCCTTTTTTATGGATTACATCTCAGTGTAAAGAAAGCAAAAATCCTCACCAGGATTGGACATTGTTTCATTCTGCTGTGCATGGGGGTCGCTATGAGTCGGTTCCGACTTGATGGCACCTGACAACAACAACAGACCAATAAACAACATTCATATCAACAGAGGAAAGATTGAAGTTGTCAAGGACTTCATTCTTCTTGGATCAACTATCAACACTCCCGGAAGCAGCAGTCAAGAAATCAGAGGCCATTGCATTAGGCAAGTTTGCTGCACTAGACCTTTTTAAAATGTTGAAGAGCAAAGAAATCAGCTTCAGGACTAAGGTGTGCCTGACCCAAGCCATGGTATTTTCAATAACCTCATACGCATGTGAAATCTGGAGAGTGAATAAGGAAGACCATAGAAGAATTGATGCTTTTGAGTTATGCTGTTGGAGGAGAATACTGAAAGTACTATGGGCTGCCAAAAGAACCAACAGATCTGTGTTGGAAGAAGTACAGCCAGAGGGCTCCTTGGAGGCCAAGATGGCCAAACTTCATCCCTCATACTTCAGACATATTGTCAGGAAGGACCAGTCACTGGAGAGTGATATCAATCCAGAGGTTCAAGACGGATTCAGAAGAGGCCGTGGAAAGAGGGATATCATTGCTGATGTCTGATGGATCTTGGCTGAAAGCAGAGAAAATCAGACAGATGTTATTGACTACACAAAGGCTTTCGATTGTGTAGATCATGACAAGCTATGGACAAGATTGTGAAGTGTGCATGTTCTGGAACACTTGAGTTTGCTCATGAGGAATCTGTATCCAGACCAAGAGGCAGGTGTCCGAACAGAACATGGGAACACTGAATGGTTCAAAAATTAAGAAAGGTGTGCAACAAGGTTGTATTCTTTCACCATACTTATTCAACCTGTATGCTGAGCAAATAATCTGAGAAGCTGGGTTTTATGAAGAAAAACATGGTCTCAGGATTGGAGGAAGACTCATTAACAACCTGCGATATGCAGATGATACAACCTTGCTTGCTGAAAGTGAAGAGGACTTAAAATGTTTACTGATGAGGATCAAAGAGCACAGCCTTCAGTATGGATTATATCTCAATGTAAAAAAATACAAAAATCCTCATCACTGGACCAATAAACAACATTCTTATCAACGAAGAAAAGATTGAGTTGAATGAAGATCTTCATTCTTCTTGGATCAACTATCAACACTCAAGGAAGCAGCAGTCAAAAAATCAAATGACATATTGCATTAGGCAAATCTGCTGCACAAGACCTTTTTAAAGTGTTGAAGAACAAAGATGTCAGCTTGAGGACTAAGGTAA